AGCCACACGCCTGACTCAGGTTTGTGGAAAGTTTGTGTCAGTGTGGAGCAGGGACTAAAATTGGAAGTGGTCTACGTTAGCCACATGCCTCACTCGATGTCTGGAAAACTTAGTGTCAGGTTGGACCGTGGACTGAGAGTAGCGAGAGTGGGAATGGCCCATGTTAGTTTTTGGGTGGGCCCATATCTTCTCGCTTCCACGCTGCTCCACACTGTCCTGTTTTTCTTTGCCCCTCTTCTACGTTAGGGCTTGCTGGCTGCGGATGCTCGAAATCCCAGTATCCTATATGTCCTAGGAATGCGCCGCTTCCAGTGTGCCATGTTGGCCTCCACCGTGCTAAAAGAGCTGTTTAGTTTTGCACCTGCAGTACCTCGGTTGAGACTAACGTAGACCATGTTCAGGAGGCCCCTACAGGTATGTGACATGGTCCATGTTAGCCTCCACCGGGCCATGTTGATCTCTAACGGCGCGGTCTATGTTAGCCTGCGTTCAGTTTATAGTCAGAGTGCAGTTGGTCCATGTTAGTGTCAAAATCGATCCTAGACTGAGAGTGGGAACGGTCCATGTTAGTGAGGGTCCAGAAATTGCAAAAAAAGGCGCTAATACCGTTTTCCCAGGAAGTCACCGTTTCCAGTGGTCCATGTTAAAGCGCACTTGAAATTGAGTTGCGGTCTATGTTGTTTTTCCCCGGAGTACATTCTCCAGAGCCTCTACAAAATCGTTTGCTCACCCGTTGATCTCCAGAAAATTTGATCGAATAGTCATTCAATAGTTTTTCTTGATACCTAGGTCAGGGGTTTTGCAGAGAACATTTGTTGTCTTTCCATTTGCACTGGGTATCCTGGGGTTGCTATTTCGTGGTATCTCAGTTGTATCCATATGGTTACTCCTTTTCATTTTGTAGAAGTAAAATCTTGGCCCCTGCCTGCAGAATCTGATAGCCCAACCCACTACCCATATTCACACGAGGATTTCTTGATCAAGAGCCAAAAGTGGAGAGGAAAGTTTTGGTTTTAGAATTTGGCTCAGATCATTTTAGATCGGAGTGTGGGATCACATTTGCTCCATTGTGAATTTGGCACAGCCACGCGAGAACTCGAGGTCTTGTCCGCTGCGGACTGCTCATGGCTGGCCGAAATGGCTGCCTGCTCAACCTCCATCAAAACCGCCAATCTTAATTGCTCCTACGTCCGCTGCGGACTGCTCTGCTCGGCCGGGAGAAGGAGACCCACCTCCGTTCAGTGGGCCACTCTCCGGGCTCTGGAAATGCGTACGGTATTGAGTTGCGGCTTGCCGCTTGCCGACCTTAGTAAAAAACCTTAGAGACCAGGCAAAACAAGAAGAGATTGTGAAACCATCGCATCTAGGTTGGAGGCCATCGGAGCAGGTGGGGGCCATCGCTAGTAGGTTGGTTGCGTACAAAAGCGACAGCGTTTTGAATTCATATCACAGTCTGATTCAACTGTGTAGGTTGGAAGCCATCATCGCATTTAGGTTGAAGGCCATCGCATCTGGGTCCTAGGTAGTCATCGTAACAGGTTGGAGGCCATCGACTAGTAGATACTAGTCGGTTGGCTGCACACAAAACTAAACATTCAACGCACAGACAAGTGCATAGCTCCAATCTTGGAGTCAAAAGCAACAGCAACCATGACTGCAGACCTGAGAACTTGGCACCTTTGCGAGTGGTCAATGGACTATCCAACACTCACAAACCAATGTAGGCACATCGACTGACCCCTGCATCGTCGGGTCTTAACTTACCTTTGCACTAAGGCTCCTTCGTCCGCTGCAGACTGCTCTGTTCCCGTTGATTTACAAGCAAAACTCAACACGCAGGCGAGCGCACACGTCTGATCTTTGTTTGACAAGCAACAGGTATAGTGGAAGTAGGGGTTGTTCCACACAGTCAGCGGGACAGATGGACTCTAGGTACTGTAAGTTAGACAAAAAAAACATCAAGGTTCTAGGTGAGGTCAACACAAAAACTGAAGCCTCCTGTTCTAGGGAGCGAGACGGACGAATCACTCCATTTGGGTAGTGGGTGTCCAAAGGTTCAGGCGACCCTGAATGCTGCTCATGCCGACTCACACGCCACTTTTCCGCTTCTGCTCAGTAGGGAGTCTGCTGCTCCGCTGACGTTTGCACCTGCCAGGTTGGGTACGGTCGCCTCGCCCCCGCTCTTCGGTTTCCTTTTGCTGCTCACTCGGACGTTCGGTTGCTACCGTTCTTCCGCCTGCGTTTGGGTTCCTTCGCCCTGCTCCGCTGCTTTCTGCTGCTTGAAAGGGTGCTGCTCCGCTGCCCCTTTGCTGCTTTCTGCTGCTTTCTGCTGCTTCGTAGGGGGGTCTGCAGTTGTTAGGATCGGGTTCAATCGCTGTTGAGTCGCCGCCGATCCCACACCAACTCAATTCACACAAACTGAAGGCAACAAATTGATATCCAAAAGGCTTTGCAAGACTGATTCTGTTACGCCCATGCTACCAACTCGGCTCAACTCACACCAACTCAACTCACCCAACTCAACTCACCCAACCCAACTCACCCAGTTCAACTCACACCAACCCAACTCACACCAATTCAACTCACCCAAAGCAACTCACACCAGCTCCGCTCACCCAACTCGACGCACATCAGCGCGAAAAGTTGGCAACAAAATTGAGAAAATGGCCTGCTATATCACGCGGCGCACCAATGAGCTCGGAATTGGATGTGCAAAATTTGGGGTTGACAGCTTCGTTCGAAACCCGTGTATAACCGTGTATATCAATCTCCGTAGACATCAAACATCTTCATTGGCATCACCATCGTCATTTTCCTACCTCAAGACACCAGCATCACACACATACATCCTTTCACATCATGCCATCCAATCCATCTCGCCTTTGAATCTATCCCTTTGAGGGTGGCTGGAGCTGGATCGTCAGCAAGTGTTTTAGATGTCAAAAAGGACATGCGCAGACTTGGACGTTTGTGTCGGAGGCAGGGTGTCAAGATCAGTTGCACCCAACCATGCGTAGCATGTAGCACAGGTGTCAAAAACCTAAAAAGAAAGGAGCCAGATTGGATGTCCAAGTTTGGCACCCTTGTTAATCTCGGCAACTCCAAGTGACAGAGTTACGGACTGATCATTAGATCTTTGGAGGGACAACGTGTCTATTGGTTGGTTTCTTTGGTTGTGCATGTGTGTCAAGACACTTCGCAATGTCCGGTCGAAGCAGGAGTTCTGCCGATGTTGCCACCTTGGAGAATCGTCTTTCTCCTGGCTTTGGCCAGACACAGCCAAGCTTGAAGCTTTGACCTGAAGTTCCAATCCAACATAAGTTCCATGCTGGGCCACTTCTGAACGATGCAGCTATTTAAACCGACATGTTTTCCCTATGGTTATCTCATTGTATATTTGAATCCCTTCCTCACTTCTGGAGGGCGTTGCTTATGCTGCGGCAGTGGTTACCCAGACTTGCAAAGTTTGACTTGATACTAAGAATCCGAAAGTCCATGTTGCTACCCATCGAGCTATGAAGGTGCAGCCACAAAAAACAAGGATAAACGTCACTGGATTAGATCGACGAACAACCCCACCAACTATGCCTTTTGATCACTGTGTGGTTTGTGGGTATGTTCATCGTGTTTTGTTGCTCAACCTTGACCAAGCATTGCATCCTTCCCGTGTGACTTGGCTCACCTACCCACACTCCACTTGCCTTGGCTGAATATTCCAAACTGCAAGTCGTTTGTTTTGCCCCCGTAAGTTCTTTTAAGCGCTACCCCCGCCTGGTATTTGATCCTGGCTGCCCCACTTTGTCAGTATATAATAGGGAGCATGTCGGCATACCCGTTGCTATCATGCTAGCAGCGCTGGTTGTCTTATGTTGGCCAAGGAAGCCCAAGCCGGAGACAAGGCAGCCGGCGGCGCCCAAGCTCCTAAAGGAGCCCAAGGAGCCCAAGGAAACTCCAAAGGAGGAGCCGAAGGAGGCAAAGGCAGATCAATTGAAAGATTCTTGGAGCAAGTGAAAATGAATGCAGAATTTTTGGAATGTATATAAATTATATAAAGTGGAAGTATCACAGCCTTGTGCTTGTAAAAACAATTGTGAGGGTGTGAAGTGTGTGAAGTGTGTGTGTGTGTGCTCAAGTCAGTAGATTCCTGAGGACCGCGGCTCCCTTGCGTCAGCGGAGAGTTGGGAAGTACAGCTGGATCAGGGAAGCTCAGATCAGACAATACTTGGATTCTAATGGGCGGTTTTCGCTTTGAAAGGTAGCCTTGGAGGAAACTACTGACGCTATCACATCGCCTTCCATGCCAACGTGTCTTCCATCACTTTTGTTGCCGAAGGGATCTAGTTGGGGGCTTGGGCAGATGCTAGATTGATATTTGGAGGTGCTAACTTCCGCAAACGCGTCATTCCACCACTGGCTGCGGCTGAGGATGGGTTCCGTTCCGTCCCGGCAGCAAGTTTCGAGATGATCCAGGCAGCCAGCTTTGGCTTCGCGTGACATTAGTGGTCTTGTAGAACACTGGCATTCAAGAGTCACTGCTGAACTGTTGCTGATTCTCGGTAACTGCACTGCTAGTCAGTACGCTGGCTTTGTGCAAGCCGTACTTTGCAAACTAAGCTGTCCTTCTCATGAGCCTCAGTCGCCTATTTATGTCATTCCCTTTCTGAGCAGGCTGCGGCTGATCCAAAGTAATAGTAGGACTTTCGTACTTACCAAGCATGGAAGCCCCATGTTTTGTTTGACGCTCAGAAAATAGAGGTTCCAGGTCTATCCTGAGTTTTAGTTCGCGAATATGTATGAGGTGCCCATCACATAAAAACACATGTGTGATGCCAAAGGCGCTCACATGAGCTTAGATTGCCATTTGGCGATTCACAAAGCATGATTCCAGGTTCCTGGGCATTCTAGCAGCATGTCGCTAAGCTTTCCATGTCAGCTTCAATTGTGGGCTTGTCCTTTCAATCTACAGTGATCTACAGTGCGGTTTGTTGATAGTGAGCTGCGATTGACCAATTGACCACCAAGCCCCCAAGGCTCTTCTCAACGCATTTGCCATGGCAAGTGCCTTTGCTTGCAGAGTAAGGTGCAGGTCACAACTGCGCAATGCATGTCTTTTGAATAAACAATGTAATGTCAACGAACATATAGAACTATAGCTTAGTCAAGGAGACCAGAACCCAACACAACCTAGATTGGAAAGCACCAAGAACAAGACCAGTACAGTACTGGGTGATGGTTTCAGACCGTTTCCGATATGTTTTTGTTAAACCTTTACTTGATATGTTTGATCCCACTGACTAACATTTTTCGGGTGAGTTCAAGCCACCAACCACCCACTTTTCACTCTTGCGTCTCGACATTTACAGCACAAATGGCTTTACCAGTTCGAGAGATGTTGGCTTCAACACGTCCACCAGCTCAGCAAGTCCACTGTAGTAGTGGCCATGCTGGCAAGTATCATTGATCACAGTTCGAGAAGCATTTACTTTCGTGACGGACACTGGGTGCGCCACTATGCTGGCTGAGGTTCTGGTACACTCTGGCATTTGATGAGAATGGCTCCACGGGCAAGCAGATTCCTGGATCGTTGCATGTTCGTTCGGTACGTGAGAACGGAATGTTTGCCATGGTGTGTTTTTACTGTCGATTAGAACTGGAGGCGGGCCGTTCTTTTGGTTTTACTAGATTCTTGGACAACAACACTAGAGCGTGCTGCACACATTTTTTTAAAGAAGGAGAGAAAGCCCACAGAGCGCCATTGTGGAGAAAGGGCATTTGAAGTTTGAAGCTCTACGGAAAGATTGACAAGCGCTGTACACACAAATGTGTTGAAACTGCCGTGCACATCGCATTGCATGAGTGCAGTGCGGACAACGCGTGATAAAAACAAGGAGCTGTGGGATACACAGAACGTAACGTATACATTATATATGTATCATATATGCCAACAAAGGCAGCATGACATGCATAGGGTACAAATGCGACGTACATGTCGAGTAGAACTACCATACACCCCTTTACTCACAGCTCATGTGAAAGTATCACGCAAAAGCTGTCATGACCAATGGCACAAAGAAAACATGCTAAAGGAAGAAGGGTATAAAGGTCCTCACCTCATGTCAACCTGGAAAATAGAAACGTTGGAAGAGGTTTTCCTTCACCCTGTACAACATGCTCACTGGGTCAAGCTTCCTACGAGGCTAGAACGACATTAGGTTTAGCATAAGAGCAACAAACTGGTTACTGTACTTCTTCTTGCAGAAGCTTTGGATCATCAATGTCAGGTTCGGAGAAGGGATCCAACGTAGAACCGGACACGCAATCGGAACATTGCAGTGCCCAAATGATTTCCTTGTACAATAACAAGAAGCTAGTAGTAACAAGTGCCACGCTACTAGTAACAGGTGCCTTACTAGTAGTAACAAGAAGCTATTAGTAACAAGAAGCGGTTGGACCATTTCACGACCCAAGGATCAACCATTGCACGGGCAAGGTGAGGCCGTTGCGCCGAGTGCAAGGTCCACCGTGTGCTGCTACTCGGCAACGTTTTCCAAAACCTTGCAATTCCCTTTGTCAGGCTTTGATTTAAAGTGTTCTCAGAGGAAGGTGAACACCAGGCCGCCTATGCCTCGTTTCAGAAGCTAGACCAACTCATTGGCGATGGTGTTGCAAGAGGATAGCTGAGTTGCGCCTAAAGCCCCAGGCAAGTGCTGGCTCGGAGACAAGCACAGAGAGGCCTCAGAAGCATCCTCCACAACCAGCAGCAGTGGCACGGCAGAGCAGCACAGTCAGGGCACAGGAATATCTTCAAGAAGGCTTATCTCTCGGGTCTGCTGTTTTGTGTCTGGGGGTATATGAGGCTAGCAGCGCTTTGCTCTGGAAGCAAGTCTTTGAAGGCAGTTGCTTTCATGTTTGTTCGGGACACGGCCAGCGTTCACCAACATATGTTTTGCATATCAAGAAGCTACTTTGGATATTTCTTCAAACAGCGATGCAGTCAAACATGGTTTCAAACGGCCGGGGAGCCTTCGAGTCTTTGAAACACTTTATTATTATTGGACCAAGCTCAAGGCTGACCGAATTAGGTTGTCTACGTTGTCCACCACTTGACTAGCGTTCGTTCTGGCTGGTTGTTTTTCACGCTCTCTCTCTCTCTAGCATCATGTACAGCTTTAGCAGCAAGTTATATTCACTGTGGTAAGGAACAGGGACAAAACGTTCCTGACTCGGTTTTGTTTTGTCAGTGCATTGTGCTATGGTCCAAGAAAAGGAACCCAAAACCTCAAGCCAAAGATACACACCACCGACCATGACGGTGCCGACTGCAAACATAAAGTAAACTAACTGCTACAAAGTCGCCGTCCCTCAGCAGAATTGCAGCCAGCCACCTGCCAAGGCGCCCAACGGCTTTCCCAACTTGCTGACATCTGCCAACGTCACATTTTGAAGAGGCTGCCACTTAGAGAAGCGCTTCATGAAATGAACTTGCTTGCTTCTCCGCCGGTCCGTTTCGAGAAGGTGGTTAAACCAAGAATGCGCTAGAATGGGGATGACAAGACAACATGGGTGGCCCGATTGGAGGATATTGCAGGTTGCTTTTTTCCTCGTGCTTTACATTCCTTTGCCGATCTGATTGGAACAGACCGTGGGACCTGCTGCTTTTCACGCTCAAGGCAGACCAAGCCCTTGGGCGTTTTTCCGCGCAAAAGGCGCAGCGAATGACCCGGGATTCCACACAAGTCTTGGCGCCCGGCCTAGACTCCTAATGCGGCGAGTTTCTGGCTGCTTTCAGCTTTCGTGGTCAGGCTTTTCAGAAAATCCGTTGCTTTGACCACAATAAAGGTCTGCAGGGTTTGGGTGACTGCCGTGCCTAGAGTTTGACTACCAAGACCAGATGCGAACACCTCAATCGGTAATTAAAGCAGTTTGCACGCAAAGATTTATACTGTGTATCTTTATGGTTTGCTTTGACTCCCACGACCCTGAACCGCTTTCTGCAGTTGTGAAAACAATGCACGGGCTAGCGGGCTAGGCTGAAACAAGCGCATTCAACTAAACATTAAGGCTTTGTCCTGAAGCACACTTGGGCGGAAACCAGTCTACAACCGCAATTTGCTCTAACTTGTTCCCAGATGGGCCCCAAGGCCGAACAGAACAAAAAAAACCGTGTTCAAAGAATTAATCATATTGCTGCACTTATTCATGTCTTGGCGTCATACTTTTCCAAAGACCTATAGGCACTATGATGAGGCTATGCCACTGATATGCTCACTGAATGACAAAGCTGTCTAGAACGGTTAGTTTTGTGTGTGTGTGATTGTCTGTGTGCGACCTCACTCAATAAGTTTCCAAAGGCTGCTGAAATGGCAGCAACAAGTGAGCCACGACCACAGAAAGTTTCAAGTTGAAGATCTCCCAGGATGATGAGTCAGCAAAGCTGCCAATGTCGAGGGGGATGCTGTCACTGAAACCTTCGCCGCGAGGGTCTCTGTGTCCATGGCCCGTTTGCTTTTTGGTTCTTTCCCCAGAAGAGAGTGAATGGTGCAAAGTCGTGAAACCGTTCGGGGAAGTCTCAAGTCTTTGCGGAAGTGGATAAAACCGTGACCAACCTCAAGTCTTTGGGGAAGTTGCTAGTTGCAGGTGCGTCTTGGTGCGTTGGTGGGCATCCTCCCCTATCAAGGCTGTGGTACCCCTTTGATCATATCATCTATGATTGGGATGATCTTTTGATATCTTTTGTTGGTGTGTATATACGTGATTGTTGTTCGGGCTTTGGAAACCATGGCGAACCCTGCACCTAGTTAAGGCTTCTTGCCCATTTTCCCTCACAGTGCTGAGGTAAAGTTTGCAGGCGAAAAGATGTGCTCGCAAATTTTTTTTTTTTTAATATGTTGCAAGCCTATTCAGACCAGCCTGGGCTTTCCACTTGATCATGTTGATGTTCCACCGCCCCTTTTCACATGCACAATAAATTAATCATGAATAAAGGATAGTGATTTTAGGCTGCAATACCAAGCTAACTTGCGGATGAATGGCTCAAAAAAAGCTCAAAAAAGGCAGCACCTTTTTAAATAGTTTCGGGTCACAGTAATTGTCAAAATTTGCTGTATGAGGTCTTACACCCATCCTTGTGAATCATAAAGTCTAACAAAAGAGCCTGCGTGTTTATCAGAGGAAGCTGAGTGAAGGAACTGCCGAGGTGACCTCGGTGGGAACAATAGCCAGGCAGGTGAGGGCATGTGAAGCGAAAAAGGTCGCACAGCTTGGGGATCGATTGGGGTTTTAAGTTTAAGTTTATGTTTCGATGCAACATGGTGCTGCCGTCAAAGTACTCCACGCACATACCCCGCTATAGGATGACACAGATCAAGACCCCATATAAAAGATTTTAAAAAAAGGATGCGGAATGCAGGATGTCACTGCGGGCCAAACAAAAACAAGAACGCACAAGACGGAACCCTACACATTGGAATCATTTGGTGAAATCCAGCTGTAACAAGTTGATAGACTTAGATTTACATGTTGATTGCCATGAGGTAGTGTTCTCTTTGACAACGGTCTTCAAAAGTGTAGTCCGGTGTTGCTCTAATGTTCCCAGTACAAGGGTTGCTTGTCAGTTTGTGGCCACGCTATTCGAGGTCGGTGTAGTTTGATGTTTTGGTGGTTCGATATAGTTTGACAACATCCGATATACTGATATATCCGTCTCTTCTCAAGTTCTGGTTTTGTTAATGCATGAAATTGTGTCTCAAGATTGATTTTCTCCATATGGTCAATGTAGGCCGGACTCGCGTCAAGTCATTCCAAGACAGCGCATCAAGCCTTCAAACCTTCTTATCTTAAGGCATCTCTCCGCAAAAGCGTCTTGATTATGGTCTATTTGAAGTTCTGTTAAACCTTCATGCTCAAAAGCTTGTTTTAACAGTTCTGGTCATCTGAAAAAAGAACAAGAACTTCGCATGCCATGCTAAACTGCTTTCAGTTCAGACAGCTCCTCTATAGAAACAAAGGGAAAGAAAAGTTTCACTCTTCAGGCAACGAGAATAGTTTGGACATGTTTGGACTTCTACTTTTCAAACGCAACAAACTAAGTAAAGGCAGCAGGCCTGAACGAGCCGAAACGAGGTTTTGAACTCCTCCGCTTGGTCAACACCAGACGACGCCACTGAACCTACTCCCACAAGGATGTTCCCTTGTGCTTGCATAGAGATCAGGAGTGAAACACGATAAAATCTATGGAACTTAGGACTAGGATACTGCATCAAAGAGCGCGTTAGGTTTGTTACTTCTATTTCTAGGCCTTTGATCACCATCTATAACTATCAATCACCGCTCCGATTGCCAGCATATGCCAGCATCACAAATGTATAGGACAAGATTTGAACGAGCGGACTTACAGAGGGGAGCGATGCTAAAGGAAATCTACGTAGGTCAGATTTAGCTGTGTGATTTGTTTTGCAGGGGGCCCGGAAGCCAGATATATATATATATACATGAGTATATAAATATGTAAACATACAGTGT